ATGTATAACAAGAATACTGTATATTCTCTATTTGTATACTGTATATATACTTGCATTAGAAAAGGAGCAGTATTTTAGTAGTTTTTTGGGGGGTCAGCCGAGTGTCTGAGTGTAAATGGGACAGATTCGAAAGACAGATGAGAGAAATTTTGCATTCATAATCTGGAAAGAATGCTGTTGAGGGATGACCTCATCAAAATATAGAAAGTATTGAAGCCAATGTGCCAATGGGTTCCGTATGCTTTCAGCTCACACACTGTGACTTTGAAAAGTAACACTATTATAATAATAAAGCTCCTCAAATATCTGTAATGAAGTTATTACTGCACTATTTATCCCAACCCATTAAATATGAAACACAATTTAAAAAATAAATTGGAAGCTTTCTCGTCTCTGAGTCAGAAGGTTGTGGGATCAGGCTTCATGCATGTTAAAGATTCCATGGTAATTTTTCAAAAAGAACAAAAAGTGTTGTCTTGTGTCTTGGCTAACAATTCTCCAAATAAAATTAGTCATTCATTTCATGGCTGTTTGTGATACATAGCTGTGTGCTACCACGTTTACCTGTAAAATGCCCAGTCTCTGCACTTTACTGAATATCATGTGCAGAGTTTTGAGACATCCTCCTGATGTGAAAGGCATGGTATCAAATTCAAGGATTATTATGTTTTGCTATGTCTTGTTTAATTTTAACATTATGCTTTTTAAATTTATAACTTTTCTACTCTTTTTCTTTTTACCTTTCTTCTATTTGCTCCCACGATTATCTCATCTACATTGTCTCAAAACTGACCTGATAGTCTAGTATGAAAACCCAGTTTGGAGATTGTCAGGACTACACTATAGAAGAGGTCCTGTCAATCCTCATCCTAGAATTAGACATGAAAGTCAGGACATGAGTGCACGTCTGTGGCATGCAGCAAAGAATTGCGCCCTGACTTAAATACATATCAGTATTGCTCTGGAGGTTAATAGTACAGATGAGATGAACCAGGCTTTCACTTCAAAGCAAGCTGAGAATTTAAGACCAGAGAATGTAAATGGCAATGAGTAAAAAGTGAATTTGGAGCATATATCAAGAAATACCTTTTGGGGTAAAAATGGGGTAAAAAGAATGATATTTCATAACAGACGTAATGTGATAACATTGAATTTGTTATAAAACAACTCCCTCTTAACTCCCTATGAGTGATAAATATCCCTTAGATAACACTGGTCATTCACTTCACAGCTGGTTGCGGGACATCAAGTTGGCCACCGCATTCACCTCCTACACAGTCACTACAATTTCCAGTAAAATCCTTGTTAGACAGTGCTCTCAATGGCAAGCTATGCTATTTTAGCTGGCTGTATTCCAGCAATACCCTAACACAACCTCTGTGGTCCCCCAAGTAAGCTGTTGCCAACCTGTGCCTAATATTCTCTGGAATTAAATAAGATGGGTGTGTCCCCCCCAGGAAGAGAGTGTACATTCCATTCCAAACACAGCGAGATTTTCATGCATAAGCAGCATGTGTATGTGAAACTCTCTGTCTGGTTTGGATACTCTTAAGCATGATGAGGTTCTGCATGTGTCAGACACCTGGAGAACCAAAAACAAATTCCATAGTATTTACAGCTCAGAAAGTGGGCTATTCATGCCGACTCCCTGACAGAGCTATCAACCTTCTCAATTCCTGGTTTATTTTTAGGGTTGTTCCAGTGCTTTCGATGCAATTGTTAGATTTATCTCTATGAATTTTGTGATCTGTGCACTGCCACTTAAAACGACCATATCCCACAGCTGGCAGTCGTGAGCTTCATCCAATTACAGAATCATAACCTGAGGGCCACAGAACAGAGGTCAAAGATCACTCTCAAATTCGAGTGAATCTGAAGTTCACCTCCGGTGTGAAAACTTGAATTTATTCATAACTAATGTCACAGTTTCCTTCTGGCAGGTAGGTTACATTTGAGTTTCTTTGGTCAGCCAGGTGTCTGACACATGCAGAAACCCATCCATCACCATGCTTAAGAGTACCCAAACCAAGGTGATATTTGCTTGCATCCTACCTACCAGGGAAATTCCAGAGATAGATTGTTGGAATGGGCACGATCTCCCTGGAGGGATGCATTCTGCTTACCTAATTCTGGAAAGTATTAGATGCAGGTTGGCAAAAGCCTAGGCTTGGGGACCAAAGAGTGTGCATTGGGGTAATTGCTGGAGTCTAACCAGCTAAAGCTCCATAGCTTCTCATAGATAGCATTGTCTGGCAAGCTTTCCTGCTGCTTGTGCACCTTGGACTACCCTACCTGCTAGGGCTTTGGATTACACATTGGATTTCTTCCTCACATCAAAGCCATGACCCGCTCTGCCTTCCCTCACCTACGTAACATCGCCCGACTCCGCCACTACCTCACCCCTCAGGCCGCTGAAACTCTTGTTCATGCCTTCATCACCTCCAGGCTCGACTATGCAAACTCCCTGCTTGTCAGCCTTCCCAACTCCTCCCTCCACAGGCTGCAGATAATCCAGAACTCTGCAGCCGTGTCCTCTCCCGCACCAAACTCTGTGATCCCATCTCCCCCACTCTCGCCCGACTCCATTGGCTCCCTATCCTTCAGAGGACCCAGTTCAAGATCCTGGTCCTCACATACAAAGCCCTCCATAGTCTCACCCCACCCTACCTCAACAACCTCCTAACCCCCTACCAACCTGCCCGCTCCCTCCGCTCAGCCGGCTCGGGCCTGCTCCACGTCCCCCGCCCCACCCGCCCCACCACTGGTGGGAAAGCCTTCAGCCACTCTGCCCCCAACCTCTGGAATTCCATCCCACCTCGCCTCCTCCTTAGCCTCCTTCAAGTCCCGCCTCAAAACATTTCTCTTTGTCCATGCCATCGGCCACCCCCCTTCCCCTCCTCTCCCTTCTTCCCCCGACCCCAGCTTGGGACTGAAATGCCGTACACTGTCCAGCGCCTTGGGATGTCCTCCCGACGTGAAAGGCGCTATACAAATGTAATCTTGTTGTTGTTGTTGCAGGGTTAACAGCAGCTGTGTGGGAGGATTCCCTGCCCGAGTGACTGCTCTGCCCAGGTCCTGCTGATGAGCCAGGCTGTGTCTAAACATTTGAGCTTATCTCTCAGGGGAGTGGAGGGAAAGGAAGGGTTGAGTCAGACAGGATTTGCTGACTAGCATGGAATGGCACGTGGGGAAGAAAATCTGTTAAAGCAGAGGTGAGGGTGGTCGTAGTGTTATTGACAGCTCTTGTTATTTTTCTGTAGTGCAATAGAAGTGTTTTATGGTCAGGACAGCAGATTTTCTGTGTTGATATAACAAGCTACATGTGCTTTACACATTGTTTCAATCCTATTTTCCTGTTTAGGGTAACGGGGGAAGGGCACTTTATTGAACAAGCACCCACCACTTGCAAATTACATAGGCTGCATGAGAAGCGCTCCATACTAGAGACTCAAGCAGCCTTCTCCAGAACGCCAATCTTGCAATTCGCTATCTGAAACATCAATAGTAAATTGTAATACTAACAATGGAATAGGTATGGTTATGTTTTACTGTTACTGAACAAAAACCAAATCAGAGGTGTAAGAATGATACAGAATGTAACATTTCAGGTATTGTTGTTTGTTAATATCGCCCAATCCTGCGCTTTTAGTTATCTCGCATTTATGTAGCACCCTCCAGGCAAGACCCCGTCTCGGAGCGCTGAAAAAAAAGCACTTTTGACAAAATATTTATAAAGATGGAATTTTTAATGAAAATATTTTTTATAATCTTTGCATTTGATATAGCGCCTTAACATGTCGTTGAGATGAGTAACGGCCCACTATATGATGCCAGCTAGATTGTAAGGATTGATAGAAACAGAAAATATAATAATAGCAATCTTTACAGTTTAGCACGTTTCACATCAGGAGGACGTCTCACAGCGTTTCACAGAATATACTGTAAAGTGGTTTGACTGTGTATTTTGTGGGCAAAAACGCGACAGCCAATTGCGCACAAAGGCGTCTCACATACAGTCGTGGATTGAATGACCATTTTCTTTTAGGGGACTACGACCCCGCGGAAAGAGAATCCGCCAATCGACTAACAACCGGATTCCTGCTTAAAGCTCGGTAAACAGCGGTGCGCGGAGTAAGGAAAACTTACCTAAAGTTTTTATCTTTAAAAGAAAGGTTAAACTTTTTCTCTATAACGACAGCGCTTTTATAAAAACCTTTTCTATTGATAGCGATGGGACTTCAGATTATTCCCCCCTCCCCACCCACATAACCATTCAAATAAAGCAACCTCGCTTGAAATGAGAGAAGGGGGAGGAAAAGAGAGAGAGAGAGAGAGTGGGGGGGAAGGGCAAGGGCAGGGCAGGGGGCTGAGCCCCACTGAGCCATTGATCCTCAGTGCTCTGTTTGCTCTGCACCACCCAGTGGAGCTAACGGGATGTCTGGGTGTGAGATGATTGGAGTGAAGGAGCTGAGCACCTCCTTCTCAGGGCTGAGTCCACTCCCTGTAACCCCACGTGTTGCAGGGTCTCTGCTCTCTCTCTCTCTGGGCTGCCCACTGACAGCAGCAGCCACTCAAACCCCCTGCAGCTCCCTCCCCAGTCTATCAGTCAGCAAGTCAGAGAGACTGCTCCTTACACACATCTCCTGCAGTCTCACAGAGCAGAGCAGAGCAGATCTCCTCTCTCTCTCTCTCACTCACTCTCTCTCTCTTTCACTCATTCACTTTCTCACTCCCTTTTGTAACCACTTCCCCACAAGGCACCCCATTTGCAAAGCACATTTTCACTTTCCCCCCCATTTCACCTCCTCCCACCCCCCCCCCCCCCCCCCTCCCTCACCCCCTTCCCATCACCCCCTTCCCCACCCCCTCACACACACACCCACACAACAACTGAGACACAAACTCGATTTGCTGCTGGGACAAAAGTTAAAAGAACCAAAAACTTTTGAGCTGAACTTTTCTCTCTCTCCCCCCCCCCCCTCCCCCCACCCTCTCCCCACCCAAAAAAGAAAAGAAAGTTGATTCCAAGGAACAATTGAGGGGAAAACAGTTATAATCCTGTCTGTCTTTGAGCTGATCCGCGTCTTGAACTGTGAGTGAGGATTTTTTTTATATTGAGTGAAACCTGATCTGGAAAAAAAGCTGCAGAGAGAGAGGGAGAGAGGGAGAAAAAGGGGCCAAAACAGCAAGGAGCGAGTTTCCCAGGATGGGGATACAGTGGTGTTGGAAGTTGCTGCTGGGATGTATGGCGCTAACAGGGATCGCAGTGGAGAAAGCCACAGGACAGAAGTATCCTTCCAGAGGCTTTGAAGCCCAACGCTTCAACCCAGATGAACTGAGGGACGCAACCAACCGAGTGAGGAGACGAGGACAACATGACACTCTGAGAGGGTAGCTATGGATTTTATGTCGATCTCTCAATGTCCATATCAAACATATCCTAGTTTTTACTTGTGATTATTTCAAATTGTTGCTGTGCGCAATCGGCTGCCGCATTTCGCCCACAAAATACACGGTCGATTCACTTAACGGTATATGCTGGGAAGCGCTTTTGAGATGTCTCGAAGACGCGATAACGACGAAAAACATCTTGAATTTATATAGCGCCCTCCATGCAGGGTAGCGTCTCAGAGCGCTTAACAGTGGCGGAGCCTGACTGATAAGGTGCTATATCAAATGCAAGGATTATTATTATTATAAAAATTATAACCTCAGACTCCTTACTGTGTGCAATGTTAACATGCAGGCTGTGTAGATTTTCTCAGTGCTGGAGGGAATAGGCATTTAATCTGCACTAAGCTATTGTATAGCCAGGTCAATTCTACTGCTTGAAAGTATTGACCTAACTATAGTGGTTCATGTCTCCATTCCCGAGCCGATCTGTCACCCCTTTCAGTCTCAGTGAGCAGACGCTTCATTCCGATTTATAAAAGATTTCTTTTTTTTTCTATAAAATAACTTTTTATAAAGATAGAACTTTTTATATGAACGAATAACGTTTATAAAGAGAGAACTTTAGTCTAGCAATTCTCTGGTGTTGGTGTGTGAAGATCATCACCTGCAGACATACTGTAGTAAGATTTATCAGAGCTAGAATGAAAATTCACTTTGAACGTGGCTTAAAGTTGCAGACTCAGATTTACGAGTGATTTTGATGAAATCTTTAAGTGGGGGTCTCCAAAAAAAACCTGGAGTGGAGCAGTTAAAGCTGTGATTTCAGCAAGCAGAAGATGGTTATCAGTAAGCATCAGATAGCTGTTGTTGAGGTTTAACTAACAGTGCAACCGACTAACCCTACACTGTCAGAAAAAGGTGAGCGATTTGAACCTGTGTCTAATCTACAGAGTGGAATGCAGAATGGACTGCAGAACTGCACTACGTAAACTCAGACTAACTCCATACACGGAGGAGGGGGAGGGGAACTAGGAAGGGAATTCAGGGGACTTTTTTTGCTTGTTTGCAAAACTTTTTTTCAAAAAGTTTATTTTCATAGAATCCCTCCAGAGGAAAATTTATAACGTTTGTATTTTCATTTTAAAAATGACAAATAAGTTAGCATTTCCTGCATGTAGATTGCAGGAGGGTCACAAAGTTAGAGATTTATCAGAAAATAAGTATTGATGACTTTTCCCAGATGCATTAAAGGGCCAAGTTTCCATTTGTTGAGCGCATTGCCTGTGCCACAGGAGGCAATTTGGGAGTAACTATATCTGTCTATATAGACAGACTGCTAATTTTATGTGGTTTTTATAATTAAATTGGAAGTTTGTTTTACTTAATCTACATCCTGAGCAGATCAGTCAGTTGAGCACCAGACGAGGGACAAGAAGGTTTTGGATTCACGTCCCAGTGGGTGGGCCTACTCAGCTCTACTATCAAATCCCTTCCTTGTTGATAAAATGCCGACTGAGACTAAAATTTTCCTCTGTGGGGATCGGGTGGGATAAGTAAGCAGTTCGTCCCTGAGATTGGATTGGGGTGAGGTAGGTAAGCGGTTTCTCCCTGAGGTTGGATTGGCTCCAAGTAGCCAAGGGTGGTAAAGACAGTTAGATCCACAGAGATCCAAGGATTGCTGGCTTATCAATAAGATGTGTAGACATGTCTTCAACCCTGCAAGCCAAAGCTCGAACAGATAAGAGGTCTGAGCTGAACAAGTACTGTGCTGGGCAATGACCCTTTGTTTGACTTAATATGTGAGAAATGTCTTCTTTTAACCTACTCTTGTTATAGTATTATCATTGCTGAATAGTTATGATTTGAAATCTGTGTATTACAGGCCGAATGTCTGTGGATCTCGATTTCATTCATACTGCTGCCCGGGATGGAAAACATTACCTGGTGGAAACCAATGCATTGTCCGTAAGTGCTATTGCTCATAATTACTGTATCTGGTCTTAAGGTTGTGTGGTAGGATCTGATATTATGTGATGTGATATGATATTCAGGCATGTGGTAATGCTTTATATAAAATATTGTATGCTGTTAGCTGTATGAGAGAAAACATCTGGACGTAAGAAACGTAAAAGTGTTATGGGAAATACGCCGTATATTATCTTTTCTGGCACAGGGATTTCATTTTTTTTGAGCCATTATTTTCACCGCAGGGCTTGAATTTCAGTTTTGCTGGAGGCGGAAAATTGTTTGTAGCTCTAGCAGCCACAAGCAAATTTTCTCTTTCATTACCAAAGTCAATCAGAATCAAAGGAAGGACCAATGACTGGAACCCAGACTGAAATCTGAAGACAGGGGTGCTGAGACATCAGATTGTGAATCTCATTAGCAAAACTATGTTAATCGAGGAGATGGAATGCTGTTCAGTGGAAGTGCAAACCCCATGAGCATTTCTCACTAGACTGGTGTTAAAGTCCAACCTTATTATTGTGAGCTTAATAAATATTAAAGGAGAAATACAATGCGTCCTCGTTAATACAAGTTCTCTTATTACAAGCTTCTCTATATAACATGTGTTTCTACTGGTTCCAGAATGAATTTCCATTGTAAACTGTAGAAAACATCAGACCTCAATAAGTTAAATTCCTGTTAAGTATACCCACTTTTTTCTGGCCCACAAAACACACAGTCACTCCACTTTACAGTAAATCCTGTGAAGCGCTGTGAGATGTCCTCCCGATGTGAAACATGCTAAATAAACTGTAAAGATGGTTATTATTATTTTCTGTTTGTATCAATCCTTACATGTAGCTGGCTGTTACTTTTGCTACTGATGAGATAACTCACATATATTTCGGCACCCAAATGTCAGTGGTTGAAAAAATTTTTGACCTCGACCTTCAATGATTTCATCAGGTTGAATAAACCTCAATGACAAAGACTCAGCTGGCTAGAAAGCATTATTTGGAATCAGTTTTAAGTCAATCTGTGTTTATACCAGTGGAAGCAAAACCGCTTCATTTCCATCTGTACAGCAATATTGAGTAAAATAGAAATGTTGTAGTAGAAAGCACAATGCCAAGATTAGATGTTAAGTTTTGAATCTTGTTGAAGAGCGCTTCACAGTTATCAGAGCTATTTGGATCACCCAAGGTTTTGCAATGAACCCAGAATGAGGTGTCCGCTCAGTTAATCTGCAGGATTATTGACCACTCCACTGGGAGAAATTCACTCATCTTTTCAAAAAGGTACAAGAGGTTCTTTGTAGCTCACGTGAGAAACAGGCAGACAGGACCTCAATTTTAATGTCGTATCTGAAGGAAGTTATTTTCGACAAATTTAGACTTCACTGTATGACCTTTTGTGTTTACATTTGGAAAAAAACGGATACTATGTTTAAAAAACACTGTAAAGGAAATATTATTATAATAAATAGAACTGATATAAACACCAATCAGTGGGGAAAGAGGGCACTGGGCCAATATATTATGTGCTGCTTATTGCACATGCAGTTGAGGCAGATGAAATATAAGCTGCTTGTCTCTCTCTGATGTTTGAGGGTCTGAAGCAAGTTTGAAAATTCTCATTCCAGCTCAGAGTTTGCCTAGGTCCGTAGAGAAAACCGTAGAATTGGTGCTAAATTATCATCAAGGTCACTGAGCGAGGGAGAGAGGAAATGAAAAAATCCCACCAGGGCAGTGGAAGGTGTTGGTTTGAGGTGCAGAGTTCAGCTCGAAGTCAGAGGCCTTTTCATTATTTCTGTTCTGTGTTCGGAGAGTCCACATTTTCTGTTTTTTTTCTTTTAATTTCCTGTGAATATTTCAGTTTTTACTTTAATAACATCCAATCCAGGTGGAAGGGAATAACAATGTGCCATTCAACAAATCTGAATGATGACTATTTGTTAAACGGTATAAGCTTAGCTCAGCTGGAGCCTTCTTGCCTTTACACCAGAAGCTTGTGAGTTCAAGCCCCACATCAGTGAGTATTCATCTCAGAATCCAAACTGATACTTGATTGAGGAACTAGAAACATAGAAATGTATAGCACCAAAGGAGGTAATTTGGCCACCATGCCTGTGTTGGGTCTTTGAAAGAGCTATTGATTTAGTCCTATTCTTCTGCCTTTTCCCCAGACTCTTTTGTACTGTATTCTTGGAAATGCCATTATTTGAATGTGATGCTAAACCGAGGTTGACACCGAGGTTGACAGATAATGAAATGTTCCATGGCATTATCTCTTACGGCAGAATGGCAACCTCCTATGCTATCATTTCTAGGAGTCTCTAATTCTAAGCACTTCTATTAATGGGGCATGGTAGAGTTTAATGACCTGATCAGACCTAATAACTCTTCTCACTGAAATTAAATGAAATCTATTTCATATTATGTTGATAATGGACAACCCTGTTTCTTGCCTGCAGCTATTTGCCGCAATATCTGTGGCGATGGATTCTGTTCACGTCCCAACATGTGCACTTGCTCCAATGGACATATCTCACCAACTTGTGGAACTAAATCCAGTAAGTTTGCAGAACATGTCAACTCTTTTTTTTATCAGCTGGGAATACTTGTTGCTGTGTGTAGTACTGTCATGGGGAAAAGGCTTTTTTTTGCAATAACAGGAAATGCTTTATATAATACAAAATTACATTTGTATAGTGCCTTTCATGTCAGGAGGATGTCCAAAGGCACTGGACAGTCAGGGATTTGGACTGGAGCGGGGGAGGGGGTTGGGTTAAGGGAGGGTGGAGAGTGCCGAAAGCATGGTTGAAGAGGAGGGTATTGAGATGTGCCTTGAAGGAGGCAAGGGAGGGAGCAAAGTGAAAGGAATGTGGGATGGAGTTCCAAAGTGTGGGGATGGAGAGGCTGAAGGTGGGGAGGGCCGGGTGTGGGACGTGGAGCAGGTCGGAGCCTGCTGAGTGGAGGGAGCGGACAGGTTGATATGGGGTTAGCAGGTCACAGAAGTAGGAAGGAGCAAGGCCGTGGAGGGCTTTGAAGGCAAGGAAGAGGATATTGAACTCTGAGGAATGGGGAGCCGGTGGAGCCGGGAGATAGTGGGGTTCATGGGGTCACAGAGCCTGGTGCCGGTGAAGACACGAGCTGCAGAGTTCTGGATGACCTGCAGCTTGTAGAGGGAAGAGTTGCGAAGGACGACAAGCAAGGAGTTGGCGTAGTTGTGATGAACGTGTGAATGAGGGTTTTGGCGGACTGAGGAGTGAGACAGTGGATGTCAGAGCGGGTTTATGGCATGGATGTGGGGGAGAAAGGACAGTTGAGGGTCCAACAAGATGCCAAGTTTTCTTTATCCCATTAATGAAGCTAAAGGTTTGTGAATTTGAAAATGTACCATTCTATACCTTCTGTAATAACAGGATTATATTGAATTATACAATTAGTACTGTCCAGCCTCGTGGTAACACACTTCAGTATACCATGGGTTCAGATATAACATGATTAACATGATATATTATCATGGAGGTGAGCTTGCCAGCTTCCTGGTAGGGTGTGCAGGCTACCCAGGCTCCACTTGGCTCCTTGCTCCGACACACTGCCCCGCGTAAAGGGTGCTATCCAAATTGATATTGTTGTTAACCCCTGCAAGCCAACAACAACAGGTCGGGTGGTCATGGATGGTCAAGCAGGGAGAAGCTTGCCAGACAATGCTCTCCATGACAAGCTATGCAGTTTTAGCTGGTTGAACTCCTTGCTTGTCGTCCCAACACACACTCTGGGATCCCCAAGCTTTGGCTCTTGCCAACCCTGCCCCTAACAGCCCTCTTGAAGTGGGTAAGCAGGCTGTGTCCCTGCAGGGAGAGAGTGCGATTCCATTCCAGACAAGGGGACATTTTCATGTGCAGGTGTCATACCTACATGGAACTCTCAGTCTGGTTTGGAAACTCTTTATGGATGTTGATGGGTTTCTGCATGTGTCAGACACCCCGCTGACCGAACGAAAGGGATCCGTTACATTAGCAGTGAGTCTGGCAAGCCCTGATGATAATGAAGATAATTCACTTGATGGATCCCCAACTGTGTTATCTTGGGGCTGCACTGTTATCTGGGTCACATTTTAAGAGATAAGAGCTGCCCCACGATGACGCTTTTTATTAAACCAAACATAATTGCTTTTTCTCTCTCTCTGTTATCAACAACAACAAGATTACATTTGTATTGCGCCTTTCACGTCGGGAGGACGTCCCTTATCTTGTCTTATGTTTATGGCTACAACTGTCACACTTACTGCTGTGCATATGACTAGCTTGTGGTAAATGACTGCCTTTTACAGTTCAACAGTGTAACATCAGGTGCATGAATGGAGGGAGCTGCGCAGAGGACCAGTGTCAGTGCCAGAAAGGATATATTGGAACACACTGTGGACAGCGTGAGTAGACTTTACTGCACCAAATTTTGCTAGCCATCATCTGTGTCCTCGTCTGTCTCCCTGTCTACTAGCAGATCGATTTCAAGATCCTCATTCTCATTTACAAAACCCTGCATAATCTTACCCTTCCTTATATCTGTGACCTTCTACAGCCTCACCTCTCCTGCACAGCTCCTCTGAGCAGGAAATGCAGACTTTTGGTGTGTTCTCCATACATCTATTCGCCCCCCGCCCATAACCGCAGAGCCTTCAGTCACCAGACCATGCTGCCTTCCTCAACGTCTTTGTCTCGACCCCTCTCTATCTGTCCATACAAGATGCCTGAAAAACCATGTGTATCCCTATGGTCCTGGGGTCTCTATAAAGCACTCTGAGATATCCTATATGAAGGGCATTGTATGAATGCAAGTTGTTTGGATAAGTTAAGGATTTCATTTCAGTATTTTCATCATTAAACCTATTTAGAACAGTGATTGTGGAAAAAATATTGAGTAAACCGTGTTTTCCAAAATATGTCCTGCAATGTTCCTTATTAGCATGCTCTATTAAGTGCATTTTCTGCCTGATCTTATGTTTTAGGACAATGGTCTGAAGACTAAAACCATGAGAAATTTTGAGTCACAATAGCTATTATTAATTTAGGCCCCAGTTTATGCCTTAGCTAAGTCTGATTCTGTCACAGTGTCCATGCACATATACTTCTGAAATAAGGCATTGGATAGCAGTGAGGAACGAGGTCTTAGCTGATGTTCCCCTTCCCTACCCCAAAGAAATACTGAGCCCAGTTGTTGTGTAATAGTGGATGGCTGAATGTGGGAATGGTGGGCACTCAGATTATTCTGTTTGTGAGCGTAATTTTCATAGGTCACTGATGATTTCATCACTAATGGGACAAAGCGTTTTCTTTTATGTCTAAAATAAAGAGCCCTTCTCACTTTTCTCCTTGCGTCATCTTATTTGTTATTAGTGCTTCTATAGCACATCCTCTGCTCCTAAATGAGCTGAAGATAGCCTCCCCCCTTGCCCCCAGAGGACATTCTGAATGAGAAGGCAGAGAAGCTGGGTTTCAGTGGAGAAGTTGGAGAAGCCTGGTCCATGGTATTGAACTACCAGGCTTCAGCTTGTGGCCATTAGCTGCGGCCTTTCACAGGACATCCACTTCCGAGCAACTAGGAAGCTCCAAAAGTCGGTGTTCTGCTGACTGATAATCAAAGGCCACAATCTGTGAGCCGACAGCCCAAATACTGCAACCCAGCGACTCTGCCTTCTAACTGAGAATGGGTGGGGTGGGGGGAGGTGAAGAGGTAGTGGGAGCTGTACTCGCTTCAGTTGATTTGATATGATAAATATCACATGGATTGTAATTTTCACTCCATAGTTTCCTTCTGTCAGGTATCCAGAGATTCAGAACTTAAAAACTGGGAAATGTACAGTACGCTCCCCTTGAAGGGCCCATCCTGAGATTTTATATTGTCCTCAGTTGACTTCATTTTCCTATTATCTTAGTATTTTGCAGAAGAGAACCATTTCATTCTCCATAGTCGTTACACATTGCACCGTGTGGTTCTGCAATAAAACCCATTCTAAGGAAACAAACTTCAGTGTAGTAGATTCAGTGGAGCACTTTCAACAAAATTAGATGCAGGTGGACATCTGTGGAGCTCACAGAGGCATTTTCTGGAATATTCTGTCACTATGCCAAGTGCTTCCCTCAGTCTACTTTTCTACATCCCTTCGCTGTTTAGAAACTGCTGTTCCGCCCACAAAATAATAAGTCAATCCACTTTACAGTATATTCTATGAAGCGCTTTGAGATGTCTTGATGAAGTGATAAGGCGCTATATCAAATGTAAGGATTATTAATATTATTGTATTACAGACCTGACTACTTGTCACAGTGAAGCATTGACATTTCTCTTTGTGTTGCAGCTGTCTGTGAAAATGGGTGCCAGAATGGTGGCCGGTGCATTGGGCCTAATCGTTGTGCCTGCGTGTATGGATTTACTGGCCCACAGTGCGAAAGAGGTAAAACATTTCCATTGCCTTTTCTTCAGGCATATTCAATGAGTACAGTAACTAAGAAGAGTAATTGAAAGACTGTGACCGAGTCAATTTACTGAGATAAAGTGATGATCTGGAAATCTGGGAACAGACACATTCTAGACCTTCTTCGGGTGCGATAGAACTCGATAGAACTCGAACCCTATTGCAATGTCTTGCATCTTGTTTCTATTAATTAATCTGCTGCTTTAGCGGCATAAACTCAATGTCGGTGTTATTGGGCATGCAAGATCAAATGTAATGCACTACTTACCAGCACATTGCTGTTCCCTGCAGTTCACATAGCGTTGCTGTGGCACTAAACCTCATCAAAAAAAAGAATATGCCACTTCTAAAAATTACCAGGTACCTTAACAATGATTTGACTTACATAGCATCTTTCATGTTGAATGAATGCCTCAAAATGCTCAACAATTGTTATGAGTATCAGGGAGAAAAGAGTACCAAAGACTAGGACCTAAAGCATAGTATCAAATATTTAATGCATGTATTATTTGTGAATTAACTTTATTGTTGCAGTCTGATCTGATTGATTCCTTTTGCCCTCATTTTTTTCTGGTAACATGTATTGATATTTGCCCGAAGTACTTGGTTAAGCTGTTAATGCTGGCTTGCCTGCGAGTGGCATTTCTGTGGTCATGCCATCTCAAAATTAAGACAAATGGGAACAGCAAAGCTAAATAAATGTAGAAACCCATTGTCTTCACCTCCGATTTACCTTGTAAATGGAAAACCTTCACCTGTAAGACAAATGCAGTGGAAGTTCTTTAGAATCATTGCTGAATAAGTTCTTTACTCAATGCTGAAAGAGACAGGACACGTGAATCCATGACTTTACTGACACCTATCTACACAATCACTAAATATAATTACATAATGGGATGGTGCCCAACCATGTGGGTCTTGGCTCCTTCACCTCAGTTTCTCAGTTTTGAAAAAAAGGATTACTTGCACGTCAATAGAAAAACTTCACAGTGTCATTTTTTTGTTGGTTTTACTTTGTTGAACTCAATGTACAAGTAAGCAGACTTTATTACGATGATGTGGGTTATGTAATATTTTTGAGGCAATTAGGTCAAGACTCTCAGATTGGATTTATATGTTTTATTCTTGGAATATTATAACAAAGCTGAATAATGACATAAGCACAGCATACATACAACTCTCTCTGAATGATTTATCTTACAACCATTATTTCTCTGAAACTGAAAGGCTTCAGTTCATCTCTTTCTTTTCCAGAATATGTAAGTATCACAAAATGCCAGGAAAAGTTTGAACTATTAATGTTAAACTGATGTATGATTTGCTCCCCTATATTACATTTATCAACCCCTAGAATTCGTAAAAATTGCTCCCTTTTACAGTGTTTATAAAAGTTGATGGTGATATAACTCAAACAGTCGGTGCCGCTGTATTTAAATAAAGAACCCATTTGGTGACAGAGACAAGACAAGAAAATGCCATTCTCAGCATGAGTGATAAGGTTTAATTTGAAAGAGGGGCAAGTCCTTTGATGTGGTTTCTTTCATGTTTTCCATGGTTTGGTTTTCAAAGTTAGACATCTCACTTATTTTTGCTTCTTTGCAACAATAGTTTCATATTATCAGAAGAAAGCAATGCAAAGAAAATGTTTCAATACAATAGCGTTGTAGTTCTCAGTCTTTGGCCTTCTTCCACCCTCCCAAAAAATGGAAAATATCGTAACTCCTTTGGCATCATTCCCAGTGAATTTCCTGGCCTGAGGAAGACGGCAGATGGCGTCTCTATTGCAGCTGTGCATAGCGGATGCAGACTGCAGCAAGTGAAATGATAATAGCAGAGTGTATAAGTGGCTCAAAGAAACCACATTAAAGACTTGGCCTTTAGGAGGCTGAGTGTAGCCTGACCTGCTTGCTCATCCTTACCACACTGTGGTGCAGATGTAGATCTTGTCTTAGTACTTCGTAGACTTATAGCAGGAGTGAGCACCAATACAAACACAAAATCCAACTTCAAATATTTTCAGAGTGTTCTGGAAAAAGGCAATCTCTTGAAAACCCAGTTTAATAAAATAAAAAATAATAATCCTTGCATTTGATATAGTGCTTTTCACGTCTTCCAGACGTCTCAAAGTGCTTCACAGAATATACTGTAAAGTGAATTGACCGTACATTTTGTGGGTGAAACACGGCAGACATTTGTGCACAGCAGTGTCCCACAAGCAGTCATAGATTGAAGTGACCAATTTATTATTGTGTTTGTTTTCTTGAGCGATTATTATCAGGCGTTTGGAGCAAGGAAACTTGCCCAGGGTTTTGCCCTGCCGGGAATCGAACCCAGTTCTCTCGCTTGACAGACGAGTGCTCTAACCACTGAGCTACAGGACTCCACAGTTTCACTCCTGAGACTAGGGATGAGTGTTTTAACCTGTGAGCAGAGACTAGAAGAAGTTATTCTCTTTTCATTAGAATGGAGAATATTGACAGCAGCCCTGCTTGAAATCTTTAAAATTATGAGGGGATTTGATAGTATTGATAGGGAGAAATTATTCATATTGAATTAATAAATTAGTGATTAGAGGGCATCAATTTAAAGTAATTAGCAAAAGAGAACATCAGGAGGATTGTTTTACACACATATATTTGTTTAAATGCGGAATGCCCTGTCTAATGTAATAGTCAAGGCAGGATCCATATTAGTTTTCAAGAGGGAACTAGATAAATATTTAAGAGGAATAATTTAAGGGGAGATGGGGTAAAATGCATGTAAATGCGACCAAATAGATTGCTTACTTTGCTGCTGCAAAGTTCTCTGTTTCTACGTAATAAAATTACATAGAAAACACGGGAAGCAGCTGCAGGGAGGGAAGGCTTGCCAGATAGTGCTTTCAATGCTAAGCTCTACAGTTTTAGCTAGTTAGACTTCAGCAGTGTCCTAACGCACACTCTGGGGTCCCCAGGGCATGGTTCTTGGCAACCTGCACCCTAATACTCTCCGGAATTAGCTAAGCAGGATGCGTCTCTCCAAGGAGACAGTGCACATTCCATTCCAATAAATATCTTTGGAATTTCCATGTGATACATAGAACTGTCAGGTTTGGTTTGGATACTCTTAAGCATGATAATGGGTTTCCGCATATGTCAGACACCTGGCTGACCAAAACAAAATGCAATAAAATGATGTATCAGATTCCTAGGCTTTCTGTTGTTCCTTTGTCCCAAGTTACAGGTGTTGGTATTTGCACAATTTGTGGTGCATCAACATGCCTCACCATGAGGCTGCTTTATGAGTAAAATGTAACATACAGAAATAATGTGAATTATTTTTCTACTCCAGTGAGTTTAAGTTTGGAAATCTCTCAACGAAGGAAAGAGTTAATTGTTGAACGCACTATAATTTGGGGCCTAGATACACATAGGTCATCGCTTTATCGTTAGCTATAAATTAGGAATTTGAAAGGATTTTTTTTAACTAAGAATAAATGGGGCCTCTTGAAAGTTTGTGATGTGAACACAGTGCATGCCTAATCCTAATCCTTATTTCACATACAAACGTCTCTCCATGTCATTACTACAATCCCCTCATTATTATCAAATTGATTCTAGGGAAGTGGGCATGGTGGTGGTTTATTTGATATGTGAAGCAGACAGGATGATTAATTCATGATTTGGAGTGAGTTTTCTAATTTAAAATATCTGTCCTTATCACTACTGAAGGAATGGCAGACATTACGGAGAATGAATAATAATAATCCTTATATTTGATAATCAATTCTTATCACATTGTCGTGAAGTCTCCCGAGAGCTTTACAGGATTTTACTGTAAAGTGAAGTGACTTTGTGTTTTCTAGGTGAATGTGGCATACAATTTATGCACAGCAATGCCCCACAGATACCAATTTAATGTCTCATTCAAAGGACACCTTCAACAATGCACTGAACTGGATTTCAGGCCTAGACTATGAGCTCAAATTCCCAATGTGGGATTGAACTCACAACTTGCTGACAATAACTTGCTGACAAGAGCGTCAGGAGTGTCAGCCTTGATGATATGGGTTCAGACTCCCAGCTTGAAACCTGAACCCATAACCTTCTCACTCAGGTGAGAGTGCTTAACAACTGAGCCAGTCTGACACTAGTCTATTTCCTTCCTGAATGAGTTTATGCAACTGCTTATATGAAAAATGTTTAGTCAAAGAATTCTTGATTAACCTGGTGCAAAAACAACTCTTGGAGGCGCTGTATGTTGGATTTTCCACTGGAGAAGATTTGCTGATGTACTTTATGATTCTGTCTCTGGCTGACGCTCATTGTACTGCTAGGGTATAGAAAGTGAGCAGTACTTTCAGATAGGTCAAGGCAGCAGAGCAAGATGGCACTTAGTTCAGAGTTGTGAAGGACAATTTTAGAACAGAGATCAGGAAATATCTTTTACATATTGGGTAATCAACAGCTGATTCTAGTTTTGCCCTTCATTACCAACTTTCTCTAAACTTTTCAGGTTTAGAGACAATCTTCTGCTTCTTCTTAATGATCTGTCTGCCTGAACCACTTTGTTTTTTAAATCCAGATAGAGACACAGTTTGGGAGAATGTAATGTTATTAAATAAATTCCCTTGGGCTGAATTTTCGGTCTGAATAACAAGCACCAGGAAGAACAAACCATCTTTTCTCTGTTCTTTTCCAAATTCTAGCAAGGACAATAACCAGTAGAGGTGATAGAGGCCCTAATACTAGACCGAGAAGGATTAATTTCAGGGAAACAACAGGATTAACAGTATGGTATCACGCAAAATTATCCCCAAAGATCTGTTGTGATAACACTTTAACATTAGTGGTGGTGTGTGTGTGCTGTGGAAGTTGACCCTTTATGTACTTTTCTCAGTTATTAATATATTCACAAATAACCAGATACTGTGTGCTGGCATTTCTGTACAAAACAATTTTGTTTCATCTCAGAATATGCTAGCAGCAAAAGAAATCTTG